GCTTAAAGGCAATGAAGCAACATCATATAGTGCCCAATATGGTCAAACCTTTGTTCCAGCACTTGCCAAGTGGGGGGATTTTTCTAACTTCTCGACTCTCCTTTTCCCAAACTATACAATAGGGCCAATGATATTGTCGATCTTAGCAATATGATTGAGGATTAAATGGCATAACGCATGCAGAACGTTTACCTGCAGTGCCTGAAATACAGTAGATGCTCATTGATAGCAACTATATTTCATTGTTAATAAAAGAGACAAATTTCTTTCAGCTGCTTTGATTTAAGAAGACAATACCATTTCCAGACATCTCTTTCCTGGGGCTAACTATATTAGTATTCTGCCCCATGGGAAGGAAGAAACTTCATGGGCAATAAATAGTCAATTTAGAAGCAGGAGGAATATGAGGTAAGCTAAAATGTTACCCCTGCTGGCTTTCTGAAACGCAGATGCATCAGTCTCTTTGATGTCCCTAGCCACTTCCAGTGAACATCTTTCAGCATATTATTTGCTTTCTTAACCACGTCGCTTTTCACTGAGTTCAACATTCCTGGAGGATTCAAAGGATCTTGGTACATTCCTCCAAAATGAATTCAGAAGGTAAGTGGAAAGAAAGGGGAAAACATCTTTGAATACGATCCAGGTTCAGACTGAGGGTGGAAGGAGGTCATGGGGGCGGCGGGTGGAACTTTGTGACTCAAAGGTTAACAGTGAGTTCAGCTTCAGGATTTCTGTGTGCCAGTCTACTCTACCAGTGCCCTGATGACTCACTGCAACCAAGCAACCCACGCCACTCCTTTGTCTAACTAAGGGACACGATGGCATCCAGCTTCCCGAAGGGGAAATGGAGGGACCACACAGGGAATCAGAGGGTCTCCTTGGGAAAGCAGGAATCAAAGTGCTCATCACCTTCAGGCTTCCCTTAATCTCCTTTGCTGTTTTAGGGAGTCCACATTCATAGTAGAATATTTTCCCTTTTAAAGGTAAGCACTTCGAATAATGCATTTTTAAGTTCACAATCAAATCCCAGTGAGCAGGTTCACTGCGCACTGGCCACTTCAGCCCACTGAATCTTGGGCTGAACTTTCACTACTTGCTCCAGTAAGAGAGAACACTCGTACATACAACGGGTTCCGTGAAGGGGCGGCAAGGAACAGTAGACACCTAGGATTCATGGTCAGAGGTTTCCCATGCTCAGGAAAGCTGCCCAGGGCAGGTGGAGTCTCGTCTGTGCGTGCCTCACTTGCACCACAGACGAAGGACCCTGGAAAGCAACCCTCTCTGGGTTTTCTACTCCAGGGATAACATGACCTGCTGGATTAATGTGTTGAAGGACATCCTGTTTCTAGAGGGGACTGGAACAGAGCCTAGGCCTTATCTCAGGATGTTGCATTCCCAGCACATTCTAGTTATTCTTAAGAACTACAGTGAGAAAGGGGGAGAACTGGGTTGGTCCACAGCCATCTGGAGAACTGTCCTACACCAGATGCAAAATATCACTCACCACGGTTCCTCTTAATACCTGTCTCGAATCCTGGGCTGGCAATAGTGAAGTATACTTCTTTGTTCAAGAGTCTGTCTTCTCACTAAACTGCACACTTCTCAAGGACAGAAACTGACTTTTTTATTTTGTATCCCAAGCAGGGCAGAAATGGACATCAGATATTACACGTTGGCATCCTTAACTACATTAAATCTTTCTTCCAGAAAACCACACTGTATGCTGGAGGCCAGAAAGCTAACAACATTAAGCGTTGTTACAGAGACTCCCTGAGAGTCAAGCTGCATCTTGAACCAACTTCTCCAAATAGACTCACCCACGCGAGAACTGAAAAACACAGTATCACGAGGCAGGGCCACGCGCCTGCTGACCAACAAGCACAGTCATGAACACCTTTGGCTGTTCTGCAGCAGCTGGAGTCTCCGTTTCCGGGGTCTAGCTACATGGGCGTCAGCCTAGAGCCTGGGCTTCCAGCCCTTCTATTTTGTAAGCACCTAATTACTCCTATCAAGTAGCTTTCTGATGAAATTAGTTCAACTGGTGTTTGTTATCTGTAGCTGAACTCTAATTTGGTGCTCATCAAATGTTTGTCGAATGAATGCACTGGGTAAACATTGGTTCCACCCACAAAGTCCACTTTAAATCACTTACACCTGGGTTCCTGAAATTACCTGTTGATTCTCAAAGGGGATGATTCGTTAACAAGAAAAAGTTGCCCAGAAATGCCTCCAGTAGAATTCTACGATGCAGTCAAAAGGAAAAAAAATCACTGTAAAATACCACTTGGAACAAGAGGTGGCTTTTTCCCTTACATTTTACCATTATCCAGAAAACGCATGAAGTGGCTTATTTTTGTCACTTAGTTCCAATTAAAATCGAGTATTTCTGTGTTTTCTAAATGACAACAAAACTACAGGTAAGAAAAGATTGTTAAAGGTTTAGTCTGAAATAAATGGTTTGTGTGAAGCTGGGGATCTAGCAGAATTATTAGAGTGAACAATTCTCTCAATCTTCAGATTTGGGTCAAAGACTTGACCTTTGAGAACATACATTTAAATGCTATTTATTCCTGTGAATCCCATAAAAGGCCTAGAGCTTCACTGGATTAATTCAAGGCTTAGTGAGTAAGTATCAAGCTGAGCACTCGGGGGCAAGGCCTGACTCCTAACATTGAAATGAGCAAGGAAGCAAAGAGCTCTCCTCTGAATTTCTCACATGCAAGAACAGCAGTTGGACTCCCCAAGCTAATGCATTTCTGTGAAATTATTGTCTTCTTACTGAAGCTTCCTGGCCTAAGACTTACGCCTCTCTACCTGAAAAAAGAAAGCCTTCTCTTTCAGCAATGCTGTGATTTTTCAATTCTTAAGGCCGAATGATCAGCACTACTCCAGTTTAGTTAAGGATTAACTTGACTAGCTCAGATGTTTCTATAATGGATCCATGTGTTGACTGACAAGAAGAGGCGCCACCTAAAGGAAGACTGGAAGAGTGCTGGCTTGCCTTACAGGAGAAGGAAAGATTAGTCAGCCCTTTTTGCAAGCATGAAACAATCAGCTGTGTTCTTGGGAGATTTCACTCTGTTGTAACGGCATGTGATGCTGTACTGGAAGAACTTATAAAGCAGAGTGCTGGGCCTGGGGAGATGTCCAGCTTGTCTGGATCCATGTCCCCTCATCATGGGAGAAGGCATTTATTCCTTCTTTCACTCTTTGCTACACCAGATGCCAAGTGGGCATGCACACGCACCACGCTCTGCGTGGTAGGCACTGGATATTCCTGGGTGAACAAAACGTGCATAGTCATTGATGTCATGGCGATCACAATCAAGTAGGGTGGAGCAGACAACAAAGAAAATAAACACACAGATGAAACTGCTAATCCTGCAAGGTCTTACTCGAGGCCAGAAATAAATATTCCCACTAAAAATCTCTGAGATAGTAAGGAGATTTTTAGTGGGAATATTTATCTAATACTATGACACACAGTGGTTCCAGGTCCAGCAACTCAGTGATGTCACTAAGGGCCCAGAACTTTCCACCTTTCCACGTTCCATCTTCAGCATGCTGAAACTTTCTACTTCAGTGGCTTTTTGAGATATTTTTCTAAAGACAGTTTCTTCTCTACCAGAAAATTAACAGCAGCTGATAGATAAAATTCACCATTAAGTTATTTACAGAAAATTGTTATTAGCCTGCACTTAACTTGCATCTCTTTGACGGGCTTAGTGTACAATGTTATCTTCTTAATAACAGTGAAGGATCAGTGACGCTTCCCAGATTCAAAGCATTTGCGATGTCTTTTCTCATACAGCTTGCTCAAATGATGCTGTCTACACACTCTGCACCAGAACACAATCTTGTGAAGAGAACTAGCCCCAGCCCCTGTCTCCGCTCCCTTTCATACTGCCCCTAACGCCATCTCCTATTACAAGATGCCTCACACATAGACACAGGAACACGCTAGGCCATACACCCACACTTCAGACACAGACTATACAAGATCAGCCGTAGTCACTGGTGTGCTTCGGGGTGCTCATACCAGTGTGCTGTCTGCTCTTCAAAGAAGACACCTGGGGAAGAGACCCTCGTAGGCCCTGGAAGTAGGCTTGGACCTCTTGGACATAAAAGTCTAGGGTTCTGGCTGGCTAGAGAAAGAACCACTTTATGTCTTTAATGAACTCTAGGTGCCTTTGTATTTGTGGCCCTCCTTTTCCATAAACTATATCACAAGTTACATCTTACAACTGTGTTGGTATAGGAATGAATATATTGATATGATGTCAGATATGTTTTCAACTTAAAAGTTCATTCTTTCCTTCTCATTTTAAAAGAAACTTGAATGTTTTTATGGCCCCTAACAGTAACAGGGACCCTTGGCAGTGCACCTATTGAATCTGCCTGCCTGGAGCTTAGTCTTGAAGGAGGAAGGAGAATGTGCTCTAATGTGGCCTACAGATTCATTGCCCCATGAGAAGAGGTATAGCCAGAGCAGAGCTAGAATTCTGGACCCTTAAATCACAGGGCTCAGATCTGGGGTCCCTCATCCACAAGGCTAAGGGTGTTACCATTTCATAATAAACCCTGTGCACTCAAGTGGGCAGTGAATTTTATTATTATGAAGAATACTGAATTAATGCTTGTTCTGATTTGTATTACTAAAGATCCCATTCTGGTGGCTCTCCCTCTGTAAGAGGACAGCTGGCCCTGAGAAATGAAACAACTTCTAGGGAGTCAAAACAACAGCTTGCAACTTCTAAATAATGGCTTTTCCAGGTTCTTTGCTTCAGTGTTTCAAAAAAAAATAAAGCTCAGGGTTTAGTTTGAGATTGAGAACTCTGTTACATTATTTTTTCCTGAAATATTAGACAACACAGAACTAACCAAGAAGGCCAGGGGAAAACTTTGAGCACACGTGGAGTTGTATGAACCACCTCTCCTACCTCTAGTGTATACAGAGTGGACTAGGTGTTTACCGTCATTCTCCGAAGTAGCTGTAGTTTCTTCTCCTCCTCCCATTCAAATGCTTTAAGCTGCTCAGTACTTCTCTCTGGAAAAGAATGGTAGTGTGACCCCACCAGTTAGTAGAAGTCAGAGTGCCACAGGGCTGGGAGAGCTCAGAGTGGGAGCAGGAATGCCACCATTAGCCTGTGGGACTCTGCCATTTTCACACCATCTTTCCATGTTCTACCCATTGTCGCACCTAAAAAGCATTAATAACTACGACATCTTGTTTTCCCTCTCTGCTCCCACCCCACTCCATCCCTCCTAAATGGCCTTCAATCTTCCACCTCTTCTTCATCTCAAAGCCAGTATCCCAGCTAAGGACCTCACCATCTCTTACCTGAACTCTTGCAATAGACCCATTTCTGGTTTCTCTGACTCTGATCCTTCCTCTCCCTCCCTACATTTCCATATTAAATGGCAATAGGAGGGATCTTACATAGAAACTTATCTGTGCTTCCAGGTACCTCTCCCAAACTGGAGTTTCAGGAAACCTTACAGTAGATATTAAATATATATTTTCTCTTGCCCCCATTGGTACAATCTTTCATTCTATTGTTTTTAGGGAGTGCAACAATTAAGTCTCTTTCCTCCCTCTGTCCAAAGACACTCTGTCTCATTTATTATATCTTATCTTACCTTATTTCATTTCATTTCATTTCATTTTTTGAGAAGGAGTCTCACTCTGTCACCCAGGCTGGAGTGCAGTGACACAATTTCAGCTTACTGTAACCTCCACCTCCCAGGTTCAAGTGATTCTCCTGCCTCAGCCTCCTGAATAGCTGGGATTACAAGTACCCATCATCATGCCTGGCTAATTTTTGTATTTTTAGTAGAGACGGGGTTTCGCCATGTTTCCCAGGCTGGTCTCGAATTCCTGACCTCAAGCGATTCATCCATCTTGGCCTCCCAGAGTGCTGGGATTACAGGTGTGAACCACCACTCGGCCCACTCTGTCTCTTTTAATTTCAGTGAGGAAAAAAAGACCCCTCTTATAGCAAGAGGCATAGGCCCATCAAAGAATTTAATTACCCTTTACTTCCTATCAAATACAATCACAAAGCTATTTAGATATCATCAGCACTATGTTCAGTCCTCATCTGGAAATTTGAGACTTTGGTGGTAACACCTCTAGAGTAGACACCCAGAGGGAGAGTCTTAACCTATGGTTAAGTGTCTGTTGGGAATTCCCAGGCTGTCACTCAAGCTAACAGAAGGGACTCTTTTCATTATATTTCTTAAGGTAGGGTTTTGGGAAAGGGATGAGCTCCATGACTTTTGTCCAATAGAAAGGTCTATAAGATATTTTGTATTTAGTTCCTCGTGCAAAGTACCTGCACATGATTTATTCCTCTTATTGAACATGCAAGTAACTAACAAGAAGGACTAAGAGGAGTGTATTACTCTCCATTGTTCTGTAGTAAACATGAAAACTAGTCAAATAGTGTTGCCACGTTATCATCAGCACCTATTCGGAAAGTTTCTTGGGGATTCCCATGCAACAATTATAAACACGTTTCTGACTTTGCATTTAAATGTTTTATTTGCAAAGAGATAAATTAGAGGGTGAAATTATTCATGCTACAGAAAGATGCTTCACAATAGCAGATCACAAGGATCCTTACTCAAGTCTTGTTTCCAGATCACTAAATAATTCAGAGGAGAAAAATCTAAAATGGGAAGTGTTTTAAGCCACTGTTGAGTACATATCCACTCATCAAAAATGAAACTGCAATGACAAAGGACATGAGTATGTCAATGGTTATAGTTTAGCTTACATTTTACAATTTTTATTTCTTTAGACAGAAAGCTAAGCACTTGATAACCCTGTTAAATTTTTTTCATGCTCTCCCTTGCCTACCCAATATATAAGGAAGACATTTCATCCTGCATGTTCCTTCAACTTTTTTCTCGTTGCTCTCAGACCCACTCAAATGCTTTTTTACCTTCAAACTCATTTCAGAACTATTTTCTGGTCTTGCCTCGCTCTACACTCCAGTCTCACCTACACCTAGTCCATCCTGCACACCCACCTGACAAACTCATACTCTGCAAGACTCAGATTGGGCCTCAAATGCTCCATGGGTACTTTTCTGACTTCCTTTGGGCTTACTGAAGTAGCCTCTTGCACACTTCCTTTGTGCCTTCCACATGTCTCTATTAGAGTATAGATAACATGGAACTCTTGGTAACCTCCCCAACAGATTACAAGTTTTTTGAGGACCAGAGTTGCCTTCCTCGTTTCATAACCAGTTTGCAGGTGTTCAACCCTCCTCATGAATCCCTCCAGTTCAAATCCTGCCTCCTCCATGATATGTTATCCAACCTCAGTAGCCCAGAATACTCCCTTACATTCCTACTCTCCAAAACAAATTATACTGCCATAGCACTTGTTTATATTTTGCTTTGTGAACAGCTCTTTTCAAGGAAATGTGCAACACAGTCCTTATCTTTTAACCACAATGTTAGATATATCAAAATAGTTAGAATAGTATGGACACTCCTAGGATTGGACCCACTAAATAGTGGCTATTTCATCAAGGCCTGTTCAGCCTAATGGAATTAGTGTGAAAGAAGAAATAGCAGGATCTGGTATTGTGAATATATACTGTTTACACAGCATTCTTGCTGTTGGGAGAAAGATTTCTATTATAACTTATGGCCTTGTGGCTTTTGTAGAATCGTCAAATATTTTTCATGATTATATAACAAAATTAAGTTTGAAAAAAGCAATTTCTAAAGGACAAAAGCAAACTAAAACAAGTAAACTCAACTAGACATTGCGCTGTGGCATAACCATACACAGAGAAACTATTCTAGTTGTCTTAAGAAGACAAAACTAACTCTCTCTCTCTCTCTCTCTCTTTCTCTCTCTCTCTCTATATATATACATATATATGTATATATACATTTACATATATATGCTCAGTGGGGTTTGATTTTCCCTGATACTAAAAAATTCAAACACTCTATCTCTCTTTCTTTTCAGTAATCATATTATTGGTAGTGCTATTGGTATTGTTATTCTAAGATTCATCTATTGGGAATTCTGTATTTTCAGCCTACAAAAAGAAAAAAACATATGTAACATAAATTAGATTAAGCAAAAATTCTAGTCTTAAATTTGCTGACATCAGGTCTGGGAAGGAAATGTACAATATACAAATGAGCCTGGATCTTTGTGTACCACAGAGAACAGATACAATCAAAGACCACTGAAAGTGTGTAAAAAGGACTCAGGAGCCATCTGGAGAAGCCTCTTAATGGCCATAGATGAGTCAATTTAAATATCAGTAAAGATAATGGCAACAGATTGAAAGGCATCGAATATATTTAAATTTCTTATATAGTTAATAACGACTATAGAAATACAAACAATTGGACATGTTTGACCAGCGAGTTATTTAACTATTTTGAAAACTAGCAAATAAAAAAGATTAAGCATTTATTCTGACTTTTCCATATGACCAACACTTCAAGTCAACCAAGTAATGTATCAGAATTTTCTCTTTGTGGAAGGATTCCAGGTTACAAATTTAACCACCATGGCATGTGTATACTTATGTAACAAACCTGCAACTCTGCATATGTACCTCAGAACTTAAAGTATAATAATAAAAAAGTAAAATAAATAAAGAGTATGATAGAATTATATCATCTTTTTGCTACTCCTAATGATACAGTATATTAAATAATAATCATCAATCACTGCTGACTTCACAAAAAGGGAGACAACCGGACATTTTATATGCCCTAATTGAGGCTCACAGCACCATTTCTGCAGCTGACTTGCCAAATGTATCAAAACTGAATGTGACTGAGTCTCTAGATCCAACTAATAATTTGCAGAAAACACATGGGACAGAAAAGCATGACACATGACACCACAAGGATCCAATTAGCAAATCCTGACAGTGGGAATTTCTACAGAAAAACAATGTGTTTAAAAAACAAAAGAGTGGCTGGGTGTGGTGGCTCCTGATGTAATCCCAGCACTTTGGGAGGCCGAGGCGGCTGAATTACAAGGTCAAGAATTCAAGACCAGCCTGACCAACATGGTGAAACCCCATCTCTACTAAAAATACAAATATTGGCCTGGAGTGGTGATGCATGCTTGTAATCCCAGCTACTCAGGAGGCTGAGGCAGGAGAATCACTTGAAACCAGGAGGCAGAGGTTGCAGTGAGCTGAGATCGCACCACTGCACTTCAGCCTGGGCGACAAAGCGAGACTCCGTCTCAAAAAAAAAAAAAAGAGGAAAATTGAATCTAAATCTACACATTAAAAGAAACTTAAACAACATACGGACCAATTGCAATGTATGGAACTTATTTTGATCCTGATTTGAAGATAATTTATAAACTTATCAAAATTATAAGATAGAGACATCTGAATACAGAGATTTAATATTAAACTATCATTAGGTAGGATAATGATATTGTGCTCATTTGTAAGAGAATATTTATATTTTAGAGATAAAGAATGAACATTTTACAGATGAAATAATATGAGGCCTGAGATTTCTTTGAAATAGTACAGATACGGGTGGAAACTGATAGAGATGCTGATAATACAAGATTGTCCATGTATTGATAATTGTTTAAGAAGGAAATTGATATATGGAGGCTTATTATGCCACTCTCCATATTTTTGCATGTGCTAAATAGTCTACAACAAAGCATTTTTGAAAAAGATACTGAACAGCTAATAGAGTATTAGAAGGGCTAGAAAACAAAAGCATAAGATCCAACTTCTAGGAATAATGCAAAATTAAGTATCCAAAACACTTGCATAAGGAAAACCCTGCAGCCACCACTAGCATCATTGGACTTATCTGCTTTTACAGCAGAGACAGACAGACAGACAGACAGACAGACAGACAGACAGACAGACAAAGAGCCACTGTCAGAGAGCACACGCATACTCTCTACTCATTCCCTCTCAGACACTTCTGAGGAAAAATCTGGGGCAGATGCCTGTGGTTATCGGAGCCTTTGCCATAGCTTCAAGGGAGTCTGGGAAAGGGGAAAGTGAGCATCTAGTATTTTCTGTTCCAATTACAAGAGGTTTCCTGTCCCATCCCCACTGTAAATAATCAAAATGAGAGCAATTCCAAAATTACAGAAAAGAATTCAGACATCAAAAAGCCAACCTGAATGAACAATATTTACCTCCCTGGGCAAGTAGCAATCTCCCTGAGTTTCAGTTTCCTCCTCTGGCAAATGGTTAAACAACACCATTCTCCCAAGACTGCTTTGAGGATTGAAAGCAATAAGGTGTCTATTAAACAGCACAGAAGATCACCCAGCAATCTTTCCTTCCACCCTCTCTCTGTTTTTTCCCCCCTTCCCTTCGTTTCTTTCCTTTAACTTCCCAACTCACTTCAGTTCCTACCTCCTTTGTGTTTTCAGAATAATATTCTATTTACTTAAGGGACACAAAGTAAATAAATGTTTTTGAAACGAAATGGGATTGAATTGGATCCAGATTTTCATAGGAGAAAAAGTTTCCTTTCGCCTTAGCCTTACATACCTGGTTTTGCAGGAAAAGAAATTAGCATTTGGAAACACACAGCCACACGTGAGATATTAATGCATCCCCACATGTCTCAAATCCTCAATCTTTGGTCAGTATGATGGGAACTTTCATTGTCCAATAAAGCAAGGTACAGACGCTTTGTTTCATTCAAGTCAGTATTTCCTCTAACCAGAAACTCACCCCAGGATGAAAGAGCCTTGCATCTCCAGCAGCCTCTGGAGAGTCAGGTGGCCCTTCAGCCTTTGAATGGCATGGACTGAATTGACTCAACCATGGTTAGCTGACTTTTATTTCTTTTCTTCCTTCCTGCTCATTCAATATCAACCAGAGAGAAGGAGCTCTGTGTCATAAAAGCGACCACAGCTGAGCAGATCTCTCCCTATGCCAGTCCACGTGGTAATTTTGGAAGGGCCCTGGGATATATGACCTTAGGACTATAGGAAAGCTTTGTGATTAATGGTGGTTTTTATCTTCAGACTTCAAACATTGACTCATGCAGAGAATGAGCAATCTATAGGTCAGATATCCTACATCCCAGTCATTTTCTTTATTCAGTCAAGAATTTAGAGAACTAAACACCGACCAGCTGTAAAAGACATCTATCCTGTCTGCAGAAAAGCCTATTTAATGGTCCCCTGAGGGGAATTGTTTAAAATAATGCTATGCAATTTCTCCAAGAGTTTCTGCTGGAAAAAAAAAATAGAACAAATGGAAAATGTAATGCCTAAGTGATCGATACTTTATTCATAAGCAAGGTTATTCTCTTGCCTTTTTCTCTTGTTGATGAGGTACTTTGCAAGCACTTTAAGTGCAAAATACCTACCTTTTACTCAGCAATTTATCAAATATTTATTGTGGGTTTTCTTATAAGATACTCTACAGGCCTATGGGGTTGTAAGGGTAGAAATAGCCCAGCACTGAAAGATTTTAATAATGTTAGCAATGCCAATCACACCCCTAATGCATCTACTAAGATTTACTTTTTACAGTGCTTTAATATGTTCTAAGTCATTTTAATAATCTTATAATTTATTAGAATGAGATAACTTTTTCAAGATCACTTTACTAACATATTTTATTTCACCTCATCTTCTAGTTGATAATGTAAGATGCTTAGCCCAGTGTGTGCCCAGAAGTACACTAAGACCTTTGACGATAGGTTCTTGGAAACTGGGACTTCAAATGAAAGGACATATAACAAAAACAGCTTTACCGTAGGCTAATTGATCTAAATAAGAGTTAAGTTGCTACAGCATATTTCTGGTCACAAAAAAAATCACCAAACTTCTAAAATAAAGACCCAAACATTTCTAATATTGAAATAAATATCAAAATAACTTTGAAATGAATAAGAGTTACACATACATTTAAGAAGGGTTCACAAAAACAAGTAAGATAATCATCTACCCACTTATTCAAGTTCAGGAGCTCAAGTGGCCAGAGACAATTCTGGTAGCTCGCGGTACCAGGCTGGAACCAGCCCCAGACAGGCCACCTTTCCCATTGCAGGGCACACTCATACACACTGACACTCACTCACACTGGGACCAGTGAGACACACTGATTCATCTACCGAATGCAGCTTTGGGTTTTGGGAGGAAACCAGACATGGGGAGGACTTGCAAAGTCCATATACACAATGACTTCAGCTAGGAATTCATTGTTTCTCATCCACATTGTAAGGAAATGATATTGAACTTAAATGACATTATTCAAGAACCTGCTGTATAAGCTCAGGAAATAGTAGAACCCCTCCCCCCGCATCCAGATACCTTGTTCCATTAGGTTTAACGAATTTAAAACTGCATTTGCATGCTCACATCAAACACTTGTCACATAGCGGCTTTCTGTTTTGTGTAGCCATGCAGATTTCATAACTTAATGAATAATCTAAACAACAACTGCCTATTTTATGTTGACCCAGCTTCCTCTTTCCTTTGTGTACACAGGTAGAAAAGGCTTGGACTACATATTTGGTTTAAAGTTTGAAAATCTGAATCTTTCCCCAACCATCAAAAATATTTACCTCCCTCCCTTGTCCCACAATCATCTAAGCAGCCTTCTCGAATTGACTCCCACACCTGTTCATCATAGAAGGAAAAAAATAAAAGCAAATGCCATATAAAATCCCTTCTTCAACTGGGTCTTCTGTTTTGAAATACTGAAACAGTTCCTGTTCTATTATCTCACCAGCTGTGGCCTTTTATCTCCTAAAGGGAATAACTGACGTCTTACCAGTCAAAGTCATTGTGCTTACGGAGGCCATAAATATCTCCTCTAAATCCTACATGATAAATTTCCCTCTGATTGGTAAAGCAGATACGGTAACGTGCAAGGGGGAAGCGGGAGAGGCTTTGATGATGCTAAGTAAGCCCCTGGAGATATCCCAGCCCTTCCTCCACAATTTTACTTTCCAACCACTGGAATCACAAACACAGTAGAAAATGTTCTCTGGATTATCCACTCCTGTGATTTTTTTAAAAACTGGCTTTCAATGATGGGCAACCTAAAATTTACTTACACAGAACATGAAACGGTTGAATTTGTTAAAGCTCCAAATGGGAACGTGTGTCTTGTAGAAATCACAATATGCTTCTAGACCACAACCTGAAAAGGAAAGAAAAAAAATCCTGTGAATAAAAAATAAAACAAGGTATTTTTCAGTTTTGTACATGCATTTGAAATCATTGTATCTCTGACTCATGTTCTACTTTATTTTTGATTCTGGGGAAGACCTATCCCTATACTGTAGTTTTTTGTTTTAATAACAAATTTCCATTTGTAACTATTAGTTGGTCTTTCCACAAAACTGGTTTGTTGGAAAGGACTGAGAAGAGAAAGAACATCCTGGATCAGATGGAATTGGTGAGTGGGGAAGTCCTTGAACTTGACCAAGCATTGTCAGTTCTCATAGTCAGACCAAAAAAAACACAGATTATTCTGTGTGTTTTTCTTGGTGCTCCTAATGTAAGTTTTCTCAAATGGGAAAAAAATTAATAAGTAGTCTGTAATTGTAAGAGAAAAAAAGGTAAAACTAAATTATTTTGGTGTTTTGTATTACTTGGAACTTTATTTATTGTAGGATATAGATTTAAGATCGTTTTTTTGTTTCGTTTTGTTTTTATAAGCAACAGATAATCTTATAATCTGCGGAATTGGGGTATAATGTAAATAACAACATACCCAAAAAGTGGGCAAAGAGACATCCACTCTGACGCTCAATCCTTTTCATGCCAACCCCACAGGCAGCCAAGAAGCACTTTGACAATGGGGAGAAAGAACTAAAGCTAGAAGATAAATGCAAGATAATTGGTAGGTTTGGGGCTGCTACAGCAAAGAAGTTAAAAGCGTCTGCCTATTTACCTTGGGATCTGAATAATCCATTTCTGTAAGTGGCCTAAACCCCGTCACCAATTTAACTCATGCCCCCAAAACACATATTTCCCTGGCGATCCCACCTTAAACAGAATAAGACAGGTATATTTCACTAAGCATTCGAATTTATTGAAGTCTGCACTTTGCTCAGATGAAGGGTTTGTGGTCTTGGTCACTGCTCCTAGCTGGGAGATGGAGTGTGTTGCTCAGTTAATAGAGTATGTCCTCTGTATGTTCTCACGTAACAACTGGACATTGTTTTCCTAGGCCAAAGGGGCTGAGTCGTATTCATTGGCTCAAGAGCTCTAAGGCGCCAAGTGGAATATTTCATGTTTATTGCCTCTTAATGGGCTACTACTGAGGACTGAGGGACACAAAGTATAAGCCATTCATGCTCAGTCAAGCCTCCTTGGAGGATGCGGAATTCCCCCTGTGATCGCTGCCACCCTGCTGATTCAACCACCACTCAGACTGCCATCAGAGGTTACTGGCTTTAGGCTGTAAGTTACAGGAAACCTTTCGGCCTCTACTTGGTTATTTATAGAGGAGTTTATAGGATTCTTCCACAACTCGAGGGAGGAAAATCAAACAAATGTCACCTCCTATTATCGTGGCAACTAAGTTCCACTCTGAAAATAGAAGCTGGAACTTTAACCTGTTAACTAGTAAACCAATCCACTGGTGTATTTATGTTTTAGCAATACTTTTTACATTAAAAAAATATTTCAAATCTTTACCCATCTCGGGAATTTCCCTCATTAGGCTCACTCTTATTTGCACTATTTGACACCTCTGCATTGGGTTAATGCTTTAATAATGGACTTCGAGTGCACAAAATTTGATTATTTATTATTTCTTTCTTTCCTTTCTTCATTCCTTCTTACTTTTACTTCTCTCTCTCTCTCTCTCTCTCTCTCTCTCTCTCTCTCTCTCTCTTCTCTCTCTTTCAGCTTTCACAAATACTAATATAAAACTTATTATATACCGGGCATTATTCTAAGAATTTCAACTTTATAACAACCCTAGGAGACTAAGTAGTGTTATTAATTCCATTTTAAAAGTAAGAAGACTTGATTTTTGATATACTATCATCACTGGTCTAATCATAACTCTATTTTATTTCTTCATTTCCCCATCACATTCCCTGGCTTATTACTTTGTTGGTGATAAAAACCAACTCCCAACCCAAGAATTTGAACATGAGCAATGCTTGCACCTATCTATCCAGTCTTCCCCATCCCTCCTGCACAACAACCCTGACATGCTGAATTTTGTATATTATTTTCTTTCATTTTTTAAAAGATAATTTTAGCAAATATACATTGGCTCAAAAATGTTATTGCTGTGATCATCTGAGAAATTGCTATTACTAAGCATCATATTATCACGTATACCTGTAGTTCATTTATTTTCATTGCAGTGTTATTCCAGATACACTACAATTTGTTTCTCTCTTGATGGGCCTTTGCTCTCTGCTCTTGTTATAAACGGTACTTTTATGAACACTTTTATGTGTTACTCTGGGTACACGAAGGTAATCATTTCCTTTAGCATACACACCTAGAAAATTGTTGGGTCAGAGGGTGTGTGAATATTAATCCTTAAAAGATAATGTGAAGTGGTTAACCAATTTATACTGGCACTATATAAGAAACATGGTTCATCCATATACTTTTCAATTTTTTTGTAGTTTAAATTCTTAATTATTGCCAATAAATTGAAGCTAAAGAGATATCCATTATAGTCTTGATTTGCTATTCTACATATTGATTTGCTCATCAATATTGCTATAAGACTCAAGATCCTTCCATATATTTTTAATTGTATGTGTTTCTCCTTCTCTTTTTCCTCTACAAAATGTTTACTGTTACTTTTTCTTTGGTCTGTAGCGCTGTTTGACCTTTCCTTATTATTTCATGTGTCTTTATATATACTTGACAGTAAACCTTTCTCAATTATGTGTTCCAAATAAATTTTTTCTCAGGTTGTAGCTTACCTTTTCATCTTCTTTAAGAATTCATCTGATGAACAGAATTTCTTAATTTTAATAGTCAATAATCGAAAATCTTTTATGGATTGTATTTTTTGTGCCTGTTTAAGAAATCCTTCTCTACCCCAAGATTGGAAAGATATCCCCCTATATTTTTCTACTAAGTGTTTAAAATTTGCTTTTGACATTTAAGCCTCTAATCCATCTGGAGTTGATTTATGGGTATGGTGTAAGGGTGGGATCCAAATTCACCTTTTTTTCCAAATGGACAACCAATTTTTCCACCTCCTTTTATTGAATATCCCTCTTTTCTCCACTGAAATGCCAGGCCATCTCTGTCCTCATTAAAGTTCCGCATAGGCATGAATTTATTTCTGGGCTCTCTATTTATTCCATCGGTTCATTTGTCTACACCTGCAGGGTGGTAATTTGGTAAGAGCGCAGTACTTAGTCAAAAGTACTGGTCATTTATAACTAAGGGGACTCGAGTAGGTCATCTGACCATTCCGTTCAGTTTTCTCTTTCATAACACTTGGATAACAATTTCCTTCCTCATGAGAATGCTATGAAGACAAAAGGGAAATCTGTGATACTGTTTTTTCATCTATAAAATTCTTTGAAATATTTTAGGTTGTTTCATAAACATTCTCAAAGTGGTTTTTTTGGTTTTTTGTTTGTTTGGTTTTTTTGTCTTTCAGGAATCTTTTGGTTATTTAACAAAAAAAAACCTGACTTGAACTGGCTTTAAAAATAAAATTGAATGGCCCAAGTAACTTAAATATTCAGGTGGTAGGGTTTGCCTTAAATGAGGCTTTAAACATTTTTTTTTTTCCCTCCTTTCCCTGATTCCTGCAGTGTCACCTTTATTTTGAGACCTTATGGTCACATTGTGTCTGTGAGCGGCTTCGGGGGCTGCATGAGTGGATGTTCACATCCAGCTTTAAAACAGCCCTCTCTAGGTAGGTCCCAGAGAAGAAAGAGGAAACTTCTTCCCCAGACATCCTGGCCAGAGTTCTCTGACTCATGCTGTACAGGCTTCATTTGGGGCATGTTCTGCGACCTTCTCTAAGCACTGGGCAGACAGGATGGGATCTGTGGCTGAACTTCCTTCTTCTAAAGCTTAGGAACTGTGCTCAGAGGGTTGAAAATCTGATTGTTATTACTGAAAAGAAGCAGCGAATGAATTCTGGGGGATAAGGGGTAGCACCCATAGCAAATAGACATTACATTTTAGTTTTAATTTTTGAACAAAAGAACAGACAGATCAAGTAGTGCTGAAGAGTTTACGGGGAGAAAAGCAACCGCCACTCTCACTAACACCAATCTTAACTCCTACGGGAAAAAAAAAAATTTTTTTTTTTGAGATGGAGTTTCACTCTTGTTACCCAGGCTGGAGTGCAATGGTGCGATCTCGGCTCACCGCAAACTCCGCCTCCTGGGTTCAGGCAATTCTCCTGCCTCAGCCTCCTGAGTAGCTGGGATTACAGGCACGCGCCACCATGACCAGCTAATTTTTGTATTTTTAGTAGAGACGGGGTTTCACCATGTTGACCAGGATGGTCTCGATCTCTTGGCCTCGTGATCCACCCGCCTCGGCCTCCCAAAGTGCTGGGATTACAGGCTTGAGCCACCGCACCCAGCCGAGGAAAATATTTTTACCTCAATCTTCACTGGACTCTCCCACTGGACTGCTGTCCTAACTCTAACAATTTAGACCTAATTTCTTTATGAATTCAGTTTTATTCATGCCAGTGCACTTCTACTTCTCCATCCTTACCACTCGCTCTTTTCAAAGTTTGATGGTAATGCTGTTATTTTAAAATATTTTACTGTTTACCTTTGTGACTTTAAATAATATACTTGTATTTCTTTTCCCGTCTATTTTAGTTAGTATCTCAACTTTCTTCTATGAAGAATTTTAGCTTTTCCAACTCCTCTACCCGTTCTTCGTTCACTTCCTCTGTCATGCGCATCTCTGTCTTTTGCATTGTTAAGATTGTGAACATTCATACTGTGTCCCTCAACAATAAATAAGGCCTTCCTGCTCTTTACATATTATATGTTGAACTTGCAAAATTAGTTCACCATTGGCTCAAGTTTTGGGCTAACATCATATTTCCTTTCCCGTGGGTTACTCAAAGCAGATCCCTACACTACTCAAAGTAAAATGTCCTTTTGCAGCAAGGCTAAATAGAATCTGTTCTATTTTACTTTTTTGATTATGTTTTTAATTTCTGTGTTATTTGCATAATAACTTTCTCCAACACACATTTCAGTTTGGGGACACTATTTCATATTTTTTTCTTTCGTCCTCCTACACGAAAGTGGAATGTTTTCTTTTTGAGTCTGTTTTGTAGCAGTCATTTTGCAACTCCCCTTTTCCACCATCATACGTTGGAGCCATGATCCTCAGAACCTCATGTCTCCCAGTTTTTGTTTCTTTCCTCCTGTTGCTTAACTATATCTTCAATTAACTTCCTTAAAGAGTATGATTAAAAGCTAAACATTACCCTCCCTTGCCTGTCAGAAAAAAATATATATATATATTTTGTTCTCTGATTGATATGCTGGCTCAGAACTTTGAGGGAACATTGCTTCATTTTCATGAGAAAATATCCTATTGTTCATGAGAAGTCTGACATTTATATGTACCTTATTCCTTTATTTATGGCTTTTTTTTCATGTCCAGAAGATTTTATAACATGCCTTGATCCTAGGTACATTATAATTTAATCAGAATATTTTATATTGCTGATTTTAGATTCATCTTGCTTAACAGTGAACCCCTTCCATCTGAATATTCTGGGAAGTCTCTTGTGACAGTAAAAACCAATCCCCTTCCCCTATTTTTACCATTCTTTTTTAGATGTCATAGGTGTAGGTGAGTTTGTAAACTGCTTTGGTTTAAAATGTCCCCTCCAAAATTTATATTGAGATTTGATTGCCAGTGTGGTGGCATTAATAGGTGGGACCTTTAAGAGGTGATTAGGTCATAGAGCAAGAATGGATTAAAGCCATTATGACAGTAGTAGGTTAGTTATTTTAGGAGTTCAGCCCTTTTTCCTGTCTCCTATGCTCCCTTGCCTGGCTGCTTTCCTTCATGGGGTGACACAAAAATAAGGCGCTCACCAGATGGCTGAGCAGATGTCAGTGCCATGCCCTTGGACTTCCCAGTCTCCAGAACTATAAGCACAGTAAATCTCTTTTCTTTATAAATTGCCCAGTCTGTATTATTCTGTTACAGCAGCAGAAGGCAGACTAAGACAGGATCACCTGAATTGGTCTCTTGTTTTGATTAAATTTTATTTAACCATACATACGATGAAATGTGTTAATCTTAAATGTATATACACATTTATATACTCATATAACACTACCCAGATAAAGATATGGAATGCTTCCAGCATCTCAGAAGTCAATAACCTCATATTTCAAGATATCATCATTTAGTTTTGCCTGTTCTTGAACTTTCTGTAAATGGAATTATACAGTATACACTCTTATTTATCTGGCTTCTTTCATGTAATATAATGTCTGTGAGATTCATCTATGTGATTTAAAATATCAGTAGTTGGTAAAATGCTGTATAATTTTCCATCTTCCACAACTATTAGACCTCCTCTTGGTGGACATGTTTTCAGTTTGGAGTTATTATGAAAAATGCAAATGTGATCATTCTTGTATATTAGTTTTGAAGAATATATTCCTTATTTCTTTTACGTGTGTATCTAAAAATGGAATTATTATTGGGTTTCTATGTTTAACTTTATAAGAAACTGTCAAACTTTTTTCCAAAGTAACTATACCAATGTACACTCCTGCTAGGAGACTGTATGAGAATTCCAGTTGTTCAACCACCTTACCAATATGTGTTACTGTCAGTCTTTCAGTGTTTTTAATTTTAGTTATTCCAGTGGGTATAAATGGCATTTCATTATGGCTTTGCTTTGCATTTTTCTAATGAGTAATGATGTTGAACATTTTTTCTATATGTGTAGCCCTTTGGATATCTTCTTTTATAACATTTTTGCTCAGGTATTTTTTATGCATTTTTATTGAGTTCTGTGCATTTTCTCATTGATTTGTAGAAGGTTCCATATATTCTGGACAGAAGTAGTTTTTAGATATATGTATTACAACTATCTTCTTGCATGCCATAGCTTGCCTTTTTTCTTAATGATGTTTTTACATTAATAGAATTGTTTAAGTATAAAGAAGCCAGGTGTAGGGGCTCACACCTGCAATCCCAGCACTTTCGGAGGTGGAGGTGGGTGGATCACCAGAGGTCAGGAGTTCAAGAGAAGCCTAACCAACATGAGGAAAACCTGTCTTTACTAAAAATACAAAAATTAGCCAGGCATGGTGGTGGGCATGCCCGAAGTCCCAGCTACTTGGGATGCTGAGGCAGGAAAACCATTTGAACCCAGGAGGCAGAGGTTTCAGTGAGCCAAAATGGTGCCATTGCACTCCAGCCTGGGTGACAGAGCAAGATTCCATCTAAAAAATAAATATATATATATATATATATACACACACACACACATGTTCTTAATCTTTTCATTTATGATTAGTGCCTATTTAAGATATATCTTCTTACTCCCAGATTCATGAAGATATTCTCCTACATTTTCATCTAAAACCCTTTTAAAAAAAAATTCTTTATATTTACATTTACGATCCACACACATTAATTTTTGTGTATGACGTGAGAGAAGAGTCACTAGCATCATTTTGATTGAAAATGCCACTTTTCCCACTGAATTGCAGTACCAGTGTTGCTGAAAAATCAACTGACTATATACATGTGGGCCCTTTTCTGGACTCTCTATACTGTTCCATTTACTGACTTGTCTAGTCTTGCACCAATACCACACTCCCTTAATTACTGTTATTACTGCTAATGTTAAAATCTGATTAATTATTGCAACTTTATCTTTTCTTCTCCAAAATTGTCTTGGAAAGTCTTTGACTTTTATATTTCCATACTCACTTTAGAAACAGCTTGTCAATTTCCATAAAGAAAAATGTGTTGGTATTTGATAAGGACTGCACTGCATCTACCTTTTAGGCAGGTAGACTTGAGCTCTTAACAAAACTGAATTCCTAAGCCATAAGTGTGCCATATTTTTAATTAGTCTCTAATTGTTTTAGACACATTCATTTTCTCTTAGCAATATTGTATATTTCTACATCTTACAAAATTTTTATTAAGTTTCTTTCTAGATATTTGATTACTTTACAGCTATTGTAAGTGGTAATTTGAATTTTTTTTCGTTTATGTACCTCTAGTGCATACAAATACTTGAATTTTGTATACCGACCTTGTAGTCAGTGTTCTTGCAAGCTTCACTCATTATTCCTAATGGCTTATTTCCCAGTTTAAAAGTTTTCTAGATTTCCAATTATTTCATCCGTGACTCTTTTCTTGTCTTTTTTGCTTATTTACCGAGTGATTTCCTCAGCTTTATTTTCCATGAACTTTTAGCTTTTGTTTTTAACTTTGGAACCCTATCGCTTCTCTTTAAAGCTCATTCTCATCCTTTGATTTTTTTAAAAAACACCTTGCTCTTGTTTTGTGGATGCAATGAAACCTCAAATTACTCAAGTTATATTATTTTTATGTTGCTTTTGTTTTCTGATTTTTTCCTCTATGATGGGTTTTCTGTTTTTATTTCAAAAATCTTTCTCTTTTGTGCCACTTTTTCTTACATATCTAGTAATCCTTACTTGTTTATTTATATTTAAGAAATAACTGCGTAGCTAATAAGGATCTCCTCTGCTGCTATGTCTCTTTTCCCTTCAGTCTCTTTCAGATGAGAATATTCCTCGCTGCCAGCAGGAGACAGAGCAGAACATGTCAGCTAGTCAGCTTTTGTTTGCTTCAGTGAAGAAGACAAAGCTCTCAGACTGTTACCCTTTCTTTTGTAAGAATGTAATGAGAAGGACTTAAACCTGTGATGCCAACACCTACACTAGGCATATTTCTAAATAGCTCATTCAACTTCCTTAGAAATGGCAGCTTTGCTGCCTGAGCTCGGGGAGATTGTGAGCAACTATTCCTTATTAACACTCCTTTAGGGAATCTTCTTGCGTTTTCCTCATTTCTAATAGTTTGATCTCTCAAACATATGTACTGCCATTTCTCTGAAGCTCCCTTGAGGCATATTCGGAGCAGTGGCTCTCATGCACTGTCTTCCCTCAACATGCTCTATCTAATGTGCTTTCACGGGTATGTTTATTACCTGGTGGTCACTAATTTCCTTATCTACCTTACTTGCTTTGCTTTTTGTGTCTATTATTACATAAATACTAGTATGTGTGTGTGTGTGTGTGTCTGTGTGAACACACACAATTATATATATGCATATGTAATGTGCATATTTTACATGTATAAAACTATGTATGAGGAATATATAAAATATGCAGATTTTATATATGCATGTCTATGTCTATGTGTGTGTATATATGTGTGATTTTTCATTGGCTACTTGGGAAGAACAATGGGTGATATAAATCTGCTATCTTGAACCAGAGTCTTGACATTTTTTTTTGCATAGTATACAGTCAAACTGCAACTTTAATCTTCTTAATGTTGGAATCCTGTTGCTTTAAAATAATTATTATTGAGTTTTATCATTGTTGGTAGACGATTCTACATGGATCTCGTGTTTATGCACAAGGGTATTTGTCTAATGGAGAGCCCTGGAAAATAGAGATAGTCTTTTTCTGGAGCAATGGACAGATTTGATTGCTGTCCAAGATAATAAAGAAAATGTTTATCACCAGGGCAAAAGTTAGGAAGACGTACTAGTCAGCCATTATAGAAGACTGGGATTTTCTAAGCTGAATCCCTCAGCTGTGATGCTAACCTTCAAGTGGACAGCATCTGCCTGCATGGTTCTGCATCACTCAGGGGCAAGGGCATCGCACAGAAGAAGATCTGCCATCTGTTGTGTCATGTGTAATAAAGTTCTTTGTCTCTGACCCAAGAAACTTGTGTCCTCTACCAGAATTCATGGTATTATGTCAGGCTAACTTGTTAGTTTGCAAACAGAATACAGCTTGAGAAGTACATATTGTATACAGGACAGAATATAGCAGGTGGAATCTAAATCTTGAAATCAAGGTTTAGTATAATACAAGTTGAAACCACTAATTCCACCTTCTAAGATTTGGTTGTTATCATTTTGTTTGATCTTGATAACTTATTGTAACCTTGACGTTCACATTCAATCTCTTTTAAAGTCATTTTGAGGGTTTCGGGAGGCATTAGAACTAAACAGAGATATTCAACCTACCATTATTAACTGAAGTCCTACATAAATGCTGTAAAGTTTACATCTTAAACCGTAAAAAAAATAGATATAAACTGTTAAAAATTATCGCAAGTCATGGAGGCTGAAGATGTATGCAGAGAAAGACTTGTTTTTACCTATACATTTTTCACTCTTCTGTGAAGCTTCAGTGTTCTTGTCACTTACAGATGTTACTTTAGTCTGTATACTTTTCCTTAAAACCATTCAAACTAGTTTTAAAATGTTAATATTTAAGGGAAAAATAATTGGAAACAGGAACAAAAACCAAAAACTAATTATGTTAAAAGCGGTTTTGTCTAAGTGAAGGAAATCATTTGGGGCAATACTTTCCTATAGTTCTCCAATTTTCTATATGCATAGTTTTCAATCATAAAATGTTACAAATGTAATTTTAAGAGTGGGATAGTAAAGAAGAGATAATTACAAAAAATTAACCTGAGATCAAAAACTCACCTAAACCAATGTCTAGGGAATATAAAATGGTTAATTCAGGGAAAGACCAATTTCCTGCACCATCTTGCCCTCTTACACTTAAATGAATATTTGTGTTTGCAATATTCACATAAAGGCCCTAAAAATCCTCAGACAACAAAGAAAGATGTAGCTATGCTTGCAACATGGGAATTTGCTAAAGGCATTTTGTAAGGATTACTCAAACAGTGTTGAAATAATGATTTTCTGACTAACCTGCAATTAACCACAACATTAAGTTAACCCAAGTGTTGCAGTTCCTTCAAAGTTCTGCATAATTACCATCTTCCCACTGTTTCATACTGACCTCCCTAGGACTTTTTTCCTAGGGAATTATTCTACATATTAAATCATCAGACACAGTCCAGTCATTCAAAGCTGAACATCTTTCTGTACTTAAAAAAGAACAACACTCTTGGGTATGGCTATTGGGAATCTGGCAGAGGACCTGTCCCAGTGTCTTGGGCTCATTGAGTTACTGTGGCCCCAGGAGGCACATTTTTCTTTCTATCATTTCAGAATTCTGATTTTTGAAGTTTTAAATTAATTTACTGTTTCAAAAGCACCAGTGATATTCTTTCATATCTCTGTCCCAAGCAAAATCTTAATATGTGAGCAGCACTTTGCAAGACACAAGAGAGGACATACAGAAGAAAACAAGATCTATCTTTGAGAAGCTTACCATTCAAAAGGAGAAACCAGATGTAAACATCGCAAACCATAAAAAAAAAAAAAGGCACACTGATGAATTGCAATAGGACCCTCACACAGGAGGAGGAACTGTGTGGGATGGCAGAGTGTAAATGCCCAAGGGAATAAGAATATACACTCAGGAATTTGAACTATACCCAGCTTTTTATGCAATGGTGATAAAGGCTCCAGCTTGAAGCTAGAAGAGATTCAGATGTGTCTGGGGACATCTGGCAAAAAGCAGTGTCAGCCCCCAAAATCTTGTTTGCATAAAGACTGAGAAAGTTTCTGGAAGAGAACTGGCCCTGACAGAGGAAAAATCCAGAAACGATTAAGTTGACTCAGTAAACGATTAGGCTGACTCTTTGTCATGGGATGAGGAAGATGATTCTGAACACAGCAAGTCTGAGATTCATCCCTATGTTAACTGCAGTTCAGCTTAGTCTGAGTATGATGGGAAGCAGAGAGTTCTAAGTAAATGCTGAAGTAGTTTTACTTTGTGACATAAGCAACTCTGCTTTGAGATTCCCTCTAGCAGAACTTAGCAGAAAGAAGAAGTTTCCCCTCAAAACTTTTCCATAGGATATAAGTCATCACACAGCTTTGCTGCCCTGCAGTCACAGCATGGTGCCTGGCAGAGCTGGCACGTTATCTGCCATGCCTTGCCAAATGCCTAAGGGTGGTCAGTCAGGAGAAAATGCCATGCCTTGTGTATCAGTCAGAAAGGCAAGGTACCCAACAATGGAATAGGGGCAGCATCTGGTGCAGGCTTTTAAACCTAGCACAGCATTAGCAGCAGCCAGGGGGAGATTGCTGAACTAGTCAAATGTCAAGCATGGAACAGCAGAAATGTATCAGCCATGCCCAGTAGGGCAGTAACAACCCCAGCTTAAAAACAGCTGTGTCCCACAACATAAGATCCAACTTATCTGTGGCCATATGAGAAAGCAGGGCAAAATCTTCTGTAGGATAAAAACTTCCAGGGGTTGAGGGGACCTGTGTCAGCATAAGAGGACACGTGATAGTGACATTTGAGTCTTTAATCTTAGCATGCTGTACAGATATCTGCAGGAAGGAGAGATCTTGAGAAATCTGGGCTATCCAATTAGTCATTTCTCAATGCAAGTATAGGAAAGACAGACAGACTTTATCTCTGGTGTTCATTATTAGGTTTATAACAAAGCCAAAAATAGCAAGTGTCTAAATGCCCCATGTTGATTATCTATTATATAAGGAGCCTTAGAGAATCACAATACTAAGATGTTACAATGATAGAAATCAAATAGACCAACACTCTGATGTTCAAATATGAGAGAGAGACCTTGAAGAAAGAAAGCCAAACACTGACTTGTGGTAGAAAAGGAAGTACAGAAATCTTCTGACTTTCAACCCAGGGATCTTTGCAAGACTCAGGGAGTCTTTGAAGACTCAGGGAGACCTAATGAGAAATAATAAGCCTGACCATTTGATCCTAGAAAGTGTTAGCAAATAACTTATCTTTAGCCATTCTGTACAAATAAAAACAAGGTGGGGAATATGTGTAGAATGTTTAAAATGCTCTTTCCTTGAATGTGAATATATACATGTCTGTGGGTTTAAAAATGTAAATGCCAGACTTGATTTCTGGAATAATGCCTTAAAAATTAGAAACACCATTAGAATTAGATTCAGAACAGAAAACGTGTGCACAGCTCTTTGTTTTCTCTGAGGAATGGATGAAACATGAGGCAGGGGTGGAATGAAGAAGGGAGGTGTGCGAGCAAAAGCAAGAACCAGAATGAGGAATGAAAACAGAGGAGGAAGTAAGTAGAGGAAAGAGCCACTGAGAAGCCTGGAGTGTCTGCATGAATGAGACGGGGGGGAGAACCCCATGAAGAGGATATTGAACGTGAAGTTTATCTGTTTTAACTGGTATGATTTACTTGACATAAGTGACAGCCCGAAACGGAAATAATCATCATCTGTCAAACAGTTGGTTCCACTGTTTCTTGACTGTCCTGCCTGTTTTCTGTTTTTAACCTAACCTGCCTGTTTTCCTGACCAGTCAAGTCAAAACAGACAACCCGATGTGTACATGTTAACACCGGCTCTCTCTTGAGTTGATGGCTCAGAAGTCTGAGTCATTGCCCTGAGAACCCCAGATTCTAACTATTCTCTTCTTCTAAATTAGAATGGGTTGGCCTCTGTTTATGTTTTCATTAAATAGAACCACATGATTGCAACCTTGCCGCTGGGGGTTGTTAGCAGAGAATTTATTAGCATGAGCCAGTATCCCGGACTGCAGGGCTGGCTGGGCTGCTGCAGCGCACCCTTGGTTCGCTGTTTTTCCTCAAGAGTTCCACTTTAGTGGGTTTCGTTCAGGAACCTGTGTCTACATATTGAGGAGAAAAGAAAAATACGAGTATGTCCTTTACACGATCCAGCTGTCTCTGCCACTCCAACCCTCTCCTGTCAGAGCTTTCCATGTGCAGCTGAAGTCTCCACAAAGGAAAAGGAAAAGATTTTCTTTCACTTAACCTGGGAAAATATAATGGACATATTCCTGGGAAGTGGTAGTGGCTTACTAGGTCTCTGATCCTTTTTCAGATGTAATAATCAAGTTGGAAATTTTCCTAAGGGTATCTTTCTTTTACTTAAAAGTTTCTCTCCTTGTTGAACTCTCATATACCCTTTGAGGCCCACCTTAGATGCCACCACCTCCATGATGTTCTCCTTGATTCTTCACACCCCATCTGAGAAAATCCACATTTTTGGGAATTTGGATTTCCCTCCTCTGTGTCCTCAGACTCCACTTCTGCATTCGCTGCTTTGTATCATGCTGATGGCATCTGTAAATGTGTCAGCTGCCTAATGCTAGGAATTAGGGTTTAACCATCCTCACATTTCTAATGGAGTAATGAATGTTAAATCAAATTGAGCGGGCAGAAGCCTAATGGAAAAGCCTGAGGATGAAATGAGGCAAAAGGAGGGAGAGGTTATTGGTAGCTGAAAAGAATGGAGATGGAGAAAGAGGGAAAGAAAAGACTGCTTGGCGTTATCACAGAAGATGGTACAGTGTGATGGGAGGCGCCTGCAGGATAAGTCAAGGGGAAACTCAGAAGGAGGATCACTAAGATGAAGACAGAACAGAAAGTGGTCAGAAGTCAGTGAAATGCTGCAGTTGGAGTAAATGCTGCCATAACGGTGTGGACAGTAGTCCCTTCCTTGTGGGAAGGGGAGGAAGGTAAGGAGGGCAGGGAAGGGCAATCATCTCATCCCAGACGACCTCTTCTTTTCACTTCTTCCAGAAGTCTGCCTTGTTGCCCAGGCTTATCAGCCTCCGCGATGCCTCCTTGTTCTGTCACCAGTCCTCACTGAGAGGTTTAAGCCTATTCTCTCCATCTCCAGCACACCAGAGGGATTCTGAGATTAAATTCCCTCAGTCTGCTCCATCTTTCAGGTGTAAACAAAATAAGATTGTCCTTAGATTATAAAAGTCTGCAGTTTACATGTATGTATGGTGGGCTGGGCGCGGAGGCTCACGCCTGTAATCCCAGCACTTTGGGAGGCCGAGGTGGGTGGATCACGAGGTCAAGAGATCGAGACCATCCTGGTCAACATGGTGAAACCCCGTCTCTACTAGAAATACAAAAAAAAAAAAAATTAGCTGGGCATGGTGGCGCGTGCCTGTAATCCCAGCTACTCAGGAGGCTGAGGCATGAGAATTGCCTGAACCCAGGAGGCGGAGGTTGTGGTGAGCCGAGATCGTGCCATTGCACTCCAGCCTGGGTAACAAGAGCGAAACTCCGTCTCAAAAAAAAAAAAAAATGTATGTATGGTCTTATTTTTCATCTACATCATGTATAGATAAATGTACATACAGAGGTGAGATTTTTGACTTTCTATATCCCTTCTCTTATAATCAGGTAATCAAATTCATTATGAAACCTCGGAAAGGATGCTGAGTCTTCAATAACACTGGGAAGGAAGATATGCTGTTCAGAAGCAGCAAGTGTTGACAATGTAAACACCAGGCCAGTCCCTGGGGTTCTAGGAAGAAAATAAAAGATATCAAAGAGTAGCCTGGGCCAAGAAATCACCTTTGAGGCCTTATATGGAATAAACGGTCTTCCGTCCTACAGGAGCCACCCCTTGGTGCCACCCTCAGTCGTCACTGTTCTTACTATTTCATTGCCTTCTAACCACTTTCTTCAAATGGGAACCACAATGTGGAATTTGAATTCCAAGTAGTCCCTGGTCCTCTTGCTGACAAGGTGTAGGAAGGAAACAGAAGGAGAATCTGTGATTCCATTATTTCAGTGGAAGGTGAAAGTAGTTTTTAAGATATTTCATATGTATTGTCTTATTTGAGCCTTGCAACAATAACCCAGTGAAGGCAAAAAGCAACTTTTACCATCTGCCCCTCTCCATTCAGTTACAGAAACTCAGAGCTAAAAAGAGTTCTGGGAATTGCCTAAAATCACACAACTGGTGAGAAGCCAGCCTGGCCTCTGCTACCAAAGGTAGTGATGCTTTCACCACCTCTTCCTACTTCTTGGTTCACTGATGATGGCTCTATGCTATTAAGATGGAAACAATTTATTGGGTATATTATGGGTCCAACAGGTTTCTGTGAACTGGGCTGACCTGGGGAACCAACAATCAAACATGACTTTGTCTCATTGGAAAAATTTGTTCTGGGTTCTAAACAGCTGATTTACATATAATATTTTAGTACACAGCTCATTTTAAACTGAGGACTGCCTGTACTCAGCTTCTAACTTCTAAGGATAGAAAGATAGTCCCTTTTATTTTTCCTGTTCTGCTTTTGGAAACTACCAACAAGGGTGCCAATTAGCACCAGATGGGACAGGGGCTGTGTGATGTGGAACTCCGACCACTGGGAACTGGAACAAGTCCACTAATGTATTAAGCAATTGAAGAGCCAGAAGTTGGGCAGGCTTCAAATTTGGCACAATGTAAAGTTTGGATTTGTAAAGGCCGAGCTTTATACACAGAATCTGTTCTTTCTCTACTCATGCCTGTGAAGACTAGCAAGGGGAATGGGAATTTAGAACTCAAATACCCTCAAGACTGTAGACTTTTATTTGCATGTTGCCTTTCACTCTGTATCTTTTCTCCATTTTGAACTTGAGTAAATTGTTATGGAATAATTAAGAGGAGGTGTAAATGCCTGTTGATCTTGGAAACTTGGATTTTAAGTGTATAATTCTTACTTAGCTTTCTTTACTTTCTGGATATCTGGATTTTTGGAATTATAACTTTGCATATGTCCAAAGTCAAGAGTGGAAATGAAACATCAGGTTAACTCAAACTCAAAGATAATTCAGATATAAATTGTATGTGTTTACTAAAAACACAGGTAAGCGAAGCAACATGAGAATTTCTATTGATATTGTTCAGATAAATGTCTATTTTTTTCTCCTCATTTATCCAGCCATGTGCCTTTGATGCAAATGTAGCTTGCTGAGTTTTGCCACTCACAACTCACGCCATAATTCCTCAACTTTCCCAGGCAATGATTTAAGTCACCCTGAGCACAAGACAAATTGCAAGCAGTTTTGCCTTAGCTTCATACAGCCTGTATTTAATAGAAATGAAGTTAGGTTTTTCCCATAAAATTAGTGGGTTGGATCTGAGCACTACTTTCCAACCTTTTCTTCTTATTATGGCACATATGGAAAATGATATTATTCAGTTGCACTCACTGGTCTAAAGAGAGAGATAAGATAGCTCATGGCTAGGGGAAAGGGACTGAGGACTGGAGGCATCCCAGACTCTGCCCAGCCAAAACAGGGCTGGGGTATTAACACCTCAACACACCTGCATTAGTGGTGCAATGTGTTCACATCTACCACTGGGCACACCAGATTAGAAGCTTTGGAGTAAAAGGTATTTAAGGACTGTTTGGAGATTCTATGACTTCTTTTATAGTATAATTTTACTGGGACATGACCACTGATGTGTGATTTGGGTATGACAGTTCAAAACCTTCTAAATCATAAACTGATCCCCAAATGTTTCACTTTCGGTTAACAGCATGGATAAGGCCCTGAATGCTGGGATGACCCCCTGTCCCAATTTGACCAAGAATGGGGTCATGATATGAGATTCTCAGTGCTAAAACCAGGGCAGTCCTGTATAAACCAGGGCAGTTGATCTCCTACCTACAATGCATAAAAATCCCTTTGAAAGGAAACAAAGGAAACAGAAGCCAGAGTTTCTGCCTCCATGGGCTTAATGATTGTTGTAGTCTTTCTCCCCTGTCCTTTGGAACTAGAGGCAGCACCCCTTTGAATTGGTCATAGAGTCCAGGTCATCTGTGGTTTAAAAAGCAGAAGACTATGATTTTTTGTATAAAATGTTTTTCTTTATAGAGTTGTTTTTGCCAGTTCCAAGAGGAAACAGTGGGCTGAAGTCAAGAGGCAGTGGATGACTGGTACTGAGCAAATGCTTCGTGCAAAGATTTCATTGGAAACATTCAGACTCATAACAATAGTGGTTCTGACATGACTACCTCTTGCCTGAGAAACTCATAAACATGGCCTCTAGGCTATACTTTTTTCAGCAGCTGCTAGTTCTTTAATTTAATTATAAGCTACAAGTAAGTTTCTTAAAGAGGCAATGTGTGTACCAAACAGTGTTCAGAGGACACTCTGTTCACAAATTTTATGACAGTCAGCACTGTTGGAATTACATGTTCTAATACGAGATGGGTGGACTGGTGTGGGAGAAATAAGAGCCACCATTCTCCTCCTCCCCCACCCAGACTTAAACCAAAATTGTTTTTGAGGTTCAAAAATATTCGCATGACAGCTTTCTATGTTTGGCTGGAGCAGACTAAACTGCAGTGCCAAAAAAATGGTTTCTTCTATCTTTAATGCTAATACAGATGTCACAGGACCTGAGAGGTGCTTTGGTGCTGGGTCCTCCCTTCATGCAGAGCTCCTGTTTCATTATGAACATTTATTACTCACTTACTTATGTGCACAGAACCAGGCTTTGCATGGAGAGAATGAGAAATGAGTAAGATAACAATTTGCCCTCAATATACACACCATGTCTTAAGGGAAAACCATCAAAGCAAGTAAACAATTTTTACCCAAATCACAATAAAAGAAAGAGAATAGAAATGTGAAAACATAAAAAAAGGATGAAACATTAAAAAAAGGAGTTCACATGTCAGTGAAAGGGGTGAAATTTCAAGTTCTAGAAACACACAACAGGAAGTTTTTTCTCTTTCCATTGCCACTAAGACGAATATACTCTCGCTTTTCTGAGATGCATGTTACACAGAAGCTCTCTTTTCCGAATGAACATTGACCTTGAAATCAGATTTGAGTTTGAATTCCATCTCTGTCAGGCATGAGCTGTGTGACTCTAGGAAAATCAGTGTCTCTAAATTGATTTTTTACCCTATAAAAGAGAAAAACCAAAACCAGTTTTATAAAGGTAGAAGAGGCAAGATACGTAAAACTCCCTCATACAGATTGGGGAATTTATAAGAGAGAGGGACAGCTACATGTAGTGAAAAGACTTGCACTGTACTCTCTAATGGTGTGTGATAGCCCCCAATTCTTTCATTATTAGAAAAACTAACAATACATTTAATGCTTATGGTAAATTAGAGTCATGAGAATCTCATATTCTAAGAATAGAATCATTAGAATTGAACTAGACTCACTGTTTTTAGTATTAATGTGTTTTTCTGCAGGAGGCGGTGGAGTTGAAGATGAACACAGTGCATGCTGGGAGGAAGGAAAGAGATGTGTGGGTATGTGGACAGGCAAAACCTAGGACAAAAAAGAATGAATTTGTTCAGAAGAAAATGCATGTTTCATGTCATTTCTTCCAGTAAAAACAAGTCATATTTCTCTTTTACAGGTGTTTTATTATATCTTTGGTTACTGACATTTGGTCAGATGTAAACAAAATAGTCATTGGACCTACCAAATATCACTTATAATGATGCAGCTTTATTCTCAGGGAGAAATTGTTGGAGGGCATTGCAATGCGGTTTTGCAACATGTTAGTAATAATATATCAATGATTCTGTCCCTTCATGAATATATTCCAGATATTAATTTGAGACTCTAATATGAGGAGAGCAACTCAGGTGACCCAGTGCTTCAGGGTTAGCAGGTTGAATATGAATATCCCTAAAAGTCAAGTCGCCACTCCCGTCTCCTTGAGCCATCCTTTCCACTGCTTATTTCTTACAATTATTAATATATTTTTCCTAATACCTATTTCAGCTTTTACTTCCTCCATAAATAATTGTCTTCAGTAAAGGAAAAAAAAAACATACACACTCTCTCTTTTAAACTACAAAGATGGTATTATTTTTTCCCTTTTAGACCCAAGTAAGAAGAGGAGCCGTACAAGGAGTAGAGCTTGGTAGAGGGTGGAAGAGGTGCAGAGGCTGAAAAAAGAAGGGCAAGCATGGTCTATTTCTCTCCTTTTCTTGGCCCTCGAAGAAAAGACATAGCATTTTCCCTCCAAGTCTCTGACTAATTACAAATTCACTGTAGGAGGCTGCTGTGCTTTCCACCTGGTTTCTATTGCATGGGAAAGAGATCAGTGCCCAAAACACATTTCAGTGCCTGACATGGAAATGCCAAGAGCTGAGAAACCATACTGAGCAGTATTGATAGGTAAGTAACAAGTCACATCTCTATCAAGTCATTTTTTAAAAATATCTACATCAATTTCCTTCTGCTAGATGAGTCAAATGCTTACAACTCTAGTTCTGTCATACTTGGCAGGGTAACACTACAGTTTTTTTCTGGTTAAGAATTCTCTGATCTTCAGCAAATTTGCTTGTTCTATCACTGGTTCCATTTCTTTGGACTTTTTCTCAAAATTATTACAATGTTCACTGCCCTCGGTTTCAATGTTCGATACAGTAGGTCTATTATTTTTTGTGTAATGCTAAAATTTCTTTTTAAACTCTCTAAGAAATTAACTATTGAATACATCAAATGTGTAGAGAAGGCAACCTACATCCATTCATTTGTTTATTCATTTATACACCAATATTTAGTTAACTCCTGCTATGTAACCAGCACTGTATAGGTACTGGGAATACAGCAATGAAGAAAAAGGAACAAAAGTGAAAGACAAAATCCTCTCTATCATGAATTTTACAATAAATATTCAATGATGGAAGAGACAAAATACATAATATAACAAACAATTGGATGACATAATATTTCAGAGAACAATACTTAGGATAACAGAGATGAGAGGTGCAGGATGACAAGAGGATGATTTAATATAGAATGATCATGGGTATCGAAGAATGTAATATTGAGGAAAGAATTTAAAAAGGTTAAAGAGCAAACCAAATGGATAGAAAGGAACATTACTCCAGGCAAAGACCCTGAAGTGGAACATGGTTGTGAGATAACACCAGGTGCACTGGCTGACCATGTTATCTCGGGCTGTATGGAAAGTCAGGACATGATTTTGCCATAGTACTGGAAAAGCAAGCCAATAAAACATGTTCAAATAAAATATTACTCTATTTCCTTCGTGTTAGGCTCAAAAATTTTACGCTAAGTGAAATCAGTGTTCCCTCCTTTCACACTTATCCATTGATACAAACAAAACACTAAACAAAATAACTACAGAGCAAGTGTTATTGTTCAAAAACATAAATGTTGTCCATTGTAATGTCATGAATACACACTGAGATGTTTGCTTTTGGAAAAAACTATATATTAGAATACATTCTATGAGCATTGTTTAAGTTATGTTATAAAGTTACATTTTATGGCCAGTTTTACTGGTGTTACAGTCATCAGCCAAAAGTCTCAGGTGGTTAGGTGGGTGGAAAAATAAGCTACTGTCTACAGGGTTTTCAATAAAACAGTCAAAAATGAGGTTGATGTCAGAGAAAAACTAACGCAGAAACTAATATTATTTTAGAGATCCATTTTTTTCTGTTTTACTTTATATTATGCACATTAAGATACTTTATAGGTTTATTTTCTCTCAAAGGATTTAGATTTTTTCCAAAACGTCAACTTGGTCTTCAAAGTTTAGTTTCAATTAAGACTGAGAAAACTGTTTTTTAAACTCTTGTAATTTCTAATTATTTTTTATCACGTCTTTGACATTTTGCTTATGTATATTTTTAAAAACTCAATTCATCCACGTAACAAAAAACTACTTCTACCCCAAAAGCTATTGAAATAAAATTTTCTAAAGAAAAATCTCAAAAAATACATTAATGATGGCAGAAAAGGACTCTTGAATCACCAACAGAAGGAAAACTTACATTTTCAAAGGAGGCTATAAGTAAAACTGATAAAGTCATCTTTTTCCAAAACATAGTAGGAAAATAAGTTGCAAATAATTAAACTGGGTTTCTAGGCTGAATGATAACTTTTGAAAGCTGACATCTGATCACTGAGCTCACCTATTCAAATAAACGTAGTATTAGTTGGTCTGTTTTTCTTTCATTATATTTAAAGCTGGGAAAATCTAGATGAAATAACCGGTCTGTCTCACTGACAACGTTGTTTTTTTTTTTCTGCTGCAAATGAGTTAAATTTTCTTTCCTCATTTTTTCCTATGTTTAAACCAACTCTAAATAAGCCTTATATTTTTAAACACTTACGTTCACACACCTAACCCAAGGGAAGATAAAGTTAAATTTTAGTAACCTTCCTCACTGAAGCCAACATGGAATGCCTCCTCCTTCTCCCACAGCCAGGTCACTATGAGACTCAGAGCCTCCACACAATCTGTGTCCGAAGTCTTCTCATCCCTCCGCTTCATGAACTTTATCCCTCTGAGTACCATGTTCTTGAAGTTTCACAAGGGAGCTGGCCCATTTGCTGAAGGAAATCCACACAAGCATGACATTACCATGTCCCTTTTAACACGATAATCCTCACTAGGGCTTCTCTGGGACGATTACCAAAATGTTCTCAGAGAATATAGTAAAGCAGGAAGATCATGAGAGCGGATTGGAGAACCAGTACCAGTAAAATCATGCTAGAGAAAGAGACCAAAGAGAAAAGAGGACCTTAGCACTCTTGCCATTTGCCATGGAATAATTGTTTGTTATGGGAGGTTGTTGATACAGTTTGGCTGTGTTCCCACTCAAATATCACCTTGATTCTAATAATCCCCATGTGTCAAGGGGGGGGCCAGATGGAGATAACTGAATCATGGGGGCAGAACCACGAACCAGTAAAATCACGCTAGAGAAAGAGGACAAAAGAGAAAAGTGCACATCAACAGCAAACACTCTCATTCACTTAGAACCAACCTAATGGAGGCTGAAGGACTTTCTGGGTTTGGTCTCAAAGAGGCCTGGAGAAATTAAGGCTGGTAGGCACCTGTTTTAGCTAACTGGATACAAACTTACAAAAACATTCACAGGTCACATTCACAGAAATAATTACTGTTCACTATAGCTACACTTATAGAATATCGGTATTCTATGCCTATACAAAGAGGATATGTGTATGGGTGAGTATGACATACAAGATATAGAAGATACATAAAGAAATACATATAATTCATATATATGGGTTCATACATATATTCATCTGCTATCTCTCTCTCTATCTATCTACCTATAGATGTGAAGTGTACCCATACCACCCATTGCTGGCGTTATTCTAAAATGACTATCTCAGAGTTTGTACATATTCTTCTGTGATTTCTCTGTGTTGCACCAGGAGGATTGATGAAGAGAAAAAAGGTATCTAAGATAAGAGCAAATACAGAATTGGGCTTTTCTCCCTTGGGAAGAGGCTAAAGAAATTAACATTAATGAAATTTCAGAGGATATGATTTTTAAGAGAAAGTAAACGCAAATACTGGGGGAGAGGAGCAAAGCTAACATCTATGGCTTGGACATGAAATTGTGGCCTCTGCTGATCTCTCTACTGCTCAGGATGGAGGCACATCATCAAAGGCAAGAGATCCAGACTTCCAGGAGTGAAACAACAGCAAACAACCAGGGGCTGGCAGTGACACTGGAAATGGCTATGAAGAACATAGAATACTGAGAGTCAGCTGTCAAATGGATGAACATGGAAAAGAACTAAGACAACCCCCCAATTCCCTAAATATGCCAGATACAAACTTGTAAAAATATTAGACGACAAAAAAATTACCACGAGATAACAAAGCAAAGACTCCCTTGGGGAATGGCTGATGCTTGAAATATAGATGGCATGTATAATTATTTAGTTTACAAATTAGGGTCAGTTTGACATTATACCGGAAGCTGTGGGGAGAAGAAATCTCACCTCTCTACATTCCTAATTTGGCTATAAATGTGTGCTACAGGCAAGTCACATGGCACATGAGAGCAGACCATTAAATTCTCAGAAATTTTATAAACCAGTTGTTAAACACAGGCATCATTAAAAGTTAAAGTATATAAACTACCAAATAAATACATTTTATCAGAAACAAAAATATATTTTTCAAAACTCACCACTTCCTAATTGTTATTATTTTACTATCATCTACACTCTTGAAGTTACTTTTATCTATCTGATAGGCATGATGGAAACACTATGTCCTGCTCCCTTTCCAACTCTGCCTTTAGTTGCATCACACTGATAGCTTGAGAGTGGCGAAGGCGGAGGTATGAATATCACAAAATTGGCAAACACTATGAATCAGGACTATTTGCTTTGTTGACTGTCTAGACGACTTGCCTCAACCAAGGTCAAGTTTGCCCTTCAAATGCCTAACGTTTGGCAATGTCCGGATAAATTTTTGGTTCTTCCAACGGGGATTACTCCTAGCATCTAGTGGGTAGAGATCATGAATGCTGCCCAATATCCTATAATTCACAAAACAACTATATTACTCTCTTCTCACACTGCTAATAAAGACATACCCAAGACCGAGTAATTTAGAAAGCAAAGAGGCCTAATTGATTCACAGTTTCACACTGCTGGGAGACCTCACGATCATGGCAGAAGGTGAGTGAAGAGCAAAGTCACATCTTACACGGTGGCAGGCAAGGCAGCATGTGCAGGGGAACTCCCATTTATAAAACTTATCAGCTCTCATGAGACTTATTCCCTACCATGAGCAAAGTATAGGGAAAACTGCCCCCATTATTCAGTTATCTCCATCTGGCCCCACCCTTGACACATGGGGATTATTACAATTCAAGGTGATATCTGAGTGGGAGCACAGCCAAACCATATCACAACCTCCCATAACAAAGAATTATTTCATGCCAAATGGCAGTAGTGCTAAAGCTGAGAAACCCTGATCTAGACCTAATAAAGTGATATGAAAATGTCAGTAGTATTGATTAAAGTATCATATCTGTCCTGGTTACACTGGCCTATATCTGCCCTCCTTTCCTATCATCACAGGTGACTTTAGCTAGCCTTCTGTCTTCAGAATTCTCCAGGCAAACGCACGTATAACTTCTTCAATTCTCCAATATCCCCAAACCTGACAGAACCAACTTCAGGTGCTCTAGAGTGATCTCTTACCATGCTTCATTCCTGTACGACAAAAGTATCTGACCCATGACTCTCCTGGGGCCCTTTCTGACTTACTTGGTAAATGGAATGACAGTAACATTCTTTTCTTCTATGACATACCTCTCACGCCTGAAATCCCAGCACTTTGGGAGGCTGAGGCGGGTGGATCACGAGGTCAAGAGATTGAGACCGTCCTGGTCAACATGGTGAAACCCCGTCTCTACTTAAAATACAAAAAAAATTAGCTGGGCATGGTGGCACGTGCCTGTAATCCCAGCTACTCAGGAGGCTGAGGCAGGAGAATTGCCTGAACCCAGGAGGCAGAGGTTGTGATGAGCCGAGATCATGCCATTGCACTCCAGCCTGGGTAACAGGAGTGAAACTTCGTCTGAAAAGAAAGAAAGAAAGAAAAAGAGAGAGAGAGAGAGAGAGAGAAAGAAAGACCTCCAAACACAGCCTCCTCTAACAAATCTCTAACTTCTACTTTCTATTGTATTTTCTGGAATTAGCTAATAGGACATGGATCTCAGGACTGGCTTTGTAATCTCATGATAAATCTTGAAAGTTTAGGTTAAGAGAGTGCATACTTAGAACTCACTGCTCTCAGCTTTGAGGTTTCAATCGAAACTTTAAATAACAGAAAATTCCCCAAGCAACAACCTATAATATACACTTGGAAAGTCGCACTGCAACAGCCGGACAAAAGCAGGCTCTGTTTATACAAAACCACTGAACAAAACTGAAACAAGTCTGATATTCAGTGTGACACTATATAGTGGTCAACAAACAGGGCCTCTAAGGTTGTGCAACCCCACCTGGGAGTGGCTGATGGGGTTCAAACTCTTCCAAGTTCCAAAGGGATTCTCTGGCCTTCAGTATTTGGACAGAAAGACACTGGGCAGAGAAGACCCACAGACAGAAACTAACTAGTCATGGTGGGTTGGGTTCACTTACCAGACGATTTAGGCAAACAGATTCAATAAGTCTAATAGTCATCCACCCGAGTAAGAACTTCCACTGTGGCAGAAGCCAGGTCTGGATGACCTGTTAAATGTTGTCACCTCTCCTTGCCTTCTCCCATGGTTAGTCATGGAGCTCCAATCATAGCCCAATGTTCGTTTTCTTTGAGGAACCTTAAAAAAAATGGCTATTTGCACATGGTTCTTAAAGTCTGCCAAAATCATATAATTGAAATAGTATAGAATAAAGTGAGTGGATTTGAAAAATCCACCCCCCCCAACAAAAAAAGAAATTCCATGAGCCAAACATCTGAGAAGATGAAAGCCAGAACTAAACAAGTAAAGACGTCCTTCTTCCTTGTATCCAAAATTTAAGTAGTTTGTCACTTTCTTCCAGAAGGCACTTCACATGGTAGCTTTTGGTAACTACTGAGTTTACGGAGAGATTTATTGGAGGCAGAAAAGCTGTAGTCGCTGCCTTGTCAAAGCAGTAAACATAAGGGATTTGCTTTCCATAACAATTTACTTACATATTTTGAAGAATACTTTAGAAAGAATGGATATTCTAAGAAAATTGAATGAAAATGGGTATAAAGATCCTAATTATAAGTTTGTGAACTTAAAAGGTACCACATTTAAAAACAAAATTATTGTCAAAAATTGTCCTACGTAGTGGAATTGTATAACCATAAGTCACTGTATGTTACAAACTACGTTTTTCCTTGCTACGATAACCAACAGGGACTCAACAGACACATAAGTTTCTTCTTATATGGTGATTACCTGATTGTCCCTCCTTTGCCTTCCTCTCAAGGTGTAAAAAAACTAGGCCAATGAGTCGAAGGTACAGGATGTCATATGTAAATCTATAAAAAAATAGGTTTTTATCAGAGTTATTCCAAAATGGAATGAGGATGGAACATTATTCAGCAATAAAAATGAAGCACTAACACATGCTACAACAAGAGAAACTGCTAAGTAAAAGAAGCCAGGTAAAAGGCCATATGCCATACGATTGTATTTACAAAGAGATTCAGAATGGATAAATCCATAGAGGCAGAATGCAGACTGGTTTTTGCCAGGAGCTGGGGAGAGGGGAAAAGACAATAACCTGCTTAAAGGGTAAAGGGTTTAGGAATGATGGAAATGTTTTGAACAGGATAGCAGTGGTGGTGGCACAGTGCTGTGAATGGGCTAAACACCACTGAATTGTCCACTTTCAAATGGTTAGTTTAGAAATAAGAGAGAAAAAAATAACAACAACAAAAAATGTTGAATGACTAATCACGGACTTCCAGGTTCCCTAGCGAGCAGGTTATCTTCAGCATAGGCCAGAAGTTCACTCAAGAGAGACAGAGTGACAGAAAAAGTCAAGTTTTAGACTAGAGAAACTCAAGATTCCTTCTAGATTGAAACTATGATAGTCTGTGGTGATTTGCCATGATCTCCAGAGCTCTTCAAATGAAAACAAAAATATCTCCTATGACCCACGAGTACTGCATGGCCTCACTGAACAAACTCTGTGGCCCACTCCGCACACCTCAAACTCACCTCACCCCATGTTGCCCCTTGTTCTAACTGTCCTGCTTTCTTTCAGTCCCTTACACACCACGATCCCCCCACCGCCTTTCTCTAGACCTTTGCACACTCCCTAAAATGTCCTCCTCTTTCTAACTTGTTAATTCTCACTCATCCTCCAGGCAGCATTCCTTCTGAGAAGACGTCTGTCACTCATTTCACCAAAACGACAAGGATCAAAGATAGTGGAACCAAAAAAGGAAACGAGAATGAAGGAAGAAGTGACTGTGGAGGCAGAATGTGCAAGACTTAATGACCTTAGGGATTAAGAGTGATTGACTGGATCACAGAAGCTTTGCCAAATGCAAACTTATTTTCATTTCTTTGGCTATTTACCATAATTTGCATCATTTACCTAGTACACTTATTCATACTTATATACTACGTATATAAGTATATATATAATATACCAGGTATTAAAGTTTGTCTTCAACACTCTAATGTCCTTTCTTCATCTAACCATAAGCTGCTTAGAAACAAATCAAATTCATCTTTCTATGCTACATTTCACATAGCCCAAAGCCTTGTCGGTGGTCAGCATTCTTTCTAAATAAATATATATTCAATGAATGCATGAATGAATTGTTGCTGTGGTTTGCTGTTTAAGCTTCCAGGTCTGTTAGCGAACTCCAGACTTATAAAACACTTAAAGGGCTCCTTCTTTGTATCTTTCTTTGTGCACTGCTAAATCCTAAGCACATGATAGGGCTCAGGACATTTCTAAGGAAGAAATGAATGATGAGTGAATGATTTCAGGATATCTCTCCAGGAAAATGAGGAGTTTATTCCAGCCACCATCAGTTTCTGTGAGTATAATGAATGCATTCAAATGTAAGTCTAGACAAAACCTATGTAGGTAAGGTAAGCAGCCCCCCAACCTGGAAGCATATTGGATAGAGAGGATTATTGCTTTATCATGGCTGTCAGGCTCACTGTGAACTTGTGTGCAGCATAGTTCCATCACCTCAGGGAGACTGTCAGCTGTGGATGCTGAAAACACAGTTCTGCCACCAACAGCCCCTTTCTATTACAATGAATGACCCGCCTGTAGTTGGTGGTTGCAGTTTCAGCCGTGGCAGTGGTGAGGGTTTGTAACACGTCTCTGCCTTTCACTCACGCCATCTCCCCAACACATTCTCGAGTGAGAGGCAGCAGCTAGCTATTCGACCAGGTAGTTTCCCTATAAATCTCAGCAGGAAGCAGCATGGTGGAATGGGAAGAACACAAGATTGAGAGCCAAGACTCTTGGGTTCTGCTCCCAAATATTTAACAACTCCATGTTGTTGTATGTAACAACTCCATGGAAATTTTAGGAAACAGGAAGGCAACTAGTGGTTTGCTGAGCACCTATTCTGTGCCAGACACTTCGTATGTCATTTATTTAATCAGCATCATAGCTTGACCTCATAGGTAACATTGCCTCTTTTTCATAGCTGGGGCAACAGAGAAGCTAAACAACTTGCCCGAGGCCAAACATAAAGAATGTAACAGAAAATTTGTACTCAGGTTTTTCCTTTTTTCCAAGCCTCAATTTCATCTATAAAAGAAAGAGATTAGGTGTACATGATTTAACACCTGCCTACTTTTTCTAGAAATGTTTAAACTATTCCCTAATTTGATGCCATTACCACAGGAAGTAACCATTGCAGCAAGAAGTAAAACAGACACTGTCAAAAGTAGACAAAATGATGAGATATACAAAAATGAGTTTATCTCTTGCAATACTGGATCACGGACAAGGCAGGTAATCTTCATATATCACTCTTGTGTATTGCATTAAATATATTTTAAATAAATTCAGGTATAATATTTTAGTGATTCAACAACTTTTTTTTCATATTTTAAGCATTATGATATCCTACTGTTTAGTTTGTCCAAAAGACGTATGTTTTATTGAAGCTATTAGTGCACAGTAATCTCACTTCTGTGCCTAGATTGAGACCTTTAGAAAAAAAGTTTGAGGACTGGTGAATGGACACTTTTCAACATATGTCTATTAACTCCAAGGGGGGAAAAAAGTACGTTGTACTTATTCACTCCTATATAAGTCAGTCTAAATAGAAGGAGATTAATGTCTTTCTCAGATGAAGGAGCTAGACAGTCCGGTAAGCTTGTTTCACTGGCACATAATAAAAAACTTTGAAGCCAAGGACCAGGCTGTTTTGCCTCTTTAGGTAAGAGAGGTGTCCTCCTCTTTCCGACCTCTTCCCCCATGCAGAGGAAGGATGGGGATCTTCTACTTTATAAGTACCTCTTATGCCAGCCAATGTCAGCTTTCAGAGATGCCAATCTGGCACTCACAGAAGAATTAAGGTCACTTAAGGAATATATGCAATAAAAAGAAGTGGGAAAAAAATAATTTTGGAAGGCCATCAAAGACTTAAGAGAGGGCATTCCGTGGCCAGGCAGAAAATGATAAAGGATCCGGGATTTATGTGCTTAGAATTGAACCTCACTGTTATTACAAAGCCATAACAAAACCCTGGGTCAAGCGCCATTCTGCCTGTAAGTGCAATTTCTAAAAGGGAGACTAGATTCACAAGGAAGACTATGATTTGTTTGGGATTTTGCCCCCAAAGTGTAAGAATAGCTTAGGCATTAGGTATTCCTAATTTGTTATAACTTGTGAGCAACTGGCTAAGTTGGCAACTGTAAAGAGGCTAAGACTGCAGTGGAGTCTAATAAAAACCCTAATAAAAGTTTTAAACTAGTTCACACATCTGCAGTCTAACGGGGGGTATTACCTAATATGTGCCATCCCTGCAGCAGCCCCACCCCACACCGCTGGCTACTTGCTAGGGAATGAGGGTGGGGAGGGGGATTGGTGCAACATTTCCCCCAGGCAGAATTTACTGCTTCTTAGAGAACCACAGCCATGTCCACAACCATCTTCAGATGGACCTTGAGGGGATTTATTTAAAGAAATATAGCGAATTCTCTTGGGTTCCCATAATTTGCACTTGCAAAAATTCTTTGAACAGGGCTGAAGCATGCCTCTTCAACGTATAGATATCTTCACCAGGAGACAAGAAACTGATGTCTGGCATTTTTATGCCCCTGTACAAAAATAATCAACTCCACCCCCAAGGCCTCAGCAGCAGCAGTTCAAAGAGCAATACTGTCCAAGTTAAGTGCTGGACTGCATGATTTCACTAGAGTGGAGAAAGAAGCGGGAAGCCTGTGATAGGAGGTGGGAAGCCCAAGATTTCTTTCCACGCTTTGGAAATTAATCAAGAACCTTGAGAAAATGCAAAACGTAGAATTTTAACAAAAAAAATTCTAAAGCTTAGTAAATTGTTGATATTAAATGCAAAAAAAAAAGACTTTTCCCATTCCAGAATAAGTATTATATTTTTCTAAGAGAAAGTGTTTGCACCGTGAACCGACATTATAATATGTTGAATTAGGTGATGCTAAAGGTTATTCTAGCACACGCATAAACCTGTCCAGCATAAGGCCACATCCTTCGCTCGGTCTCAAGAGAGGGTGCGCATGACACTTAGCTGCTAACAGTAGCAGCCTTCAAGGCCTGTGCCCACCAAGAGCAATAGATCAAGTCAGCTCTTAGAGTCTAGTCACATATTTATATTAAAAGGGAGAAAAGCCACCTTCTGGGACTTTTCCAGAGCTTCAAATGGTCTCCCTTCTCTCAGCTCATCAAGCTTAAAATGGTTTTCTTTGTTAGCTTTCAGCCACCCCTGCCTTCCAGACTAAGGAGATTTGAAACCCCTCTCCCCAGGTTATGGAAGATACAAAGGACTTTTCAGTTCACCATATTTTCCTGAAAGAAAATCTATCTGTCTCATAAAAGCAGCCCAAAACCACACAAAAGTGTGGGGGCCGGGAGGAGAGAGCCCAAGCCAATTCTCCTTTCAATCACTTTAACTCGCTGCTGAGAACTGCGAGGTGTCCTGTGTCCGATGATTAGCATCAGGTGATGCCAGGGAGCCAGACAATTAGCAAAATAACCTGCCTTATTCTAAGAAGGAGACTCACGGCAATGAAATTATTGTCCTAAAAATGAATGCGTTGATTAGGTATTTGTATTTGTGCAGGCACTCTCAGACAAAGAAACAGAGGCATGCTTGTAAAAGGGGCATTTTGGAAGAGGATACCATCCTCCTCCTCATGCCCAGCCCGGCCCATCCAAAAAATAAAGGATTATTACATTTAAATCCACTAGGAAACAACAAAAGTATGTTAATTCCACTTATAATCTCTGTTCTATAGTTTTGCTTGTCATCATCTCCTGTTCTCTAGAGGAAAACTGGAATTGTCTGAATTTGAG